AAAAGGGATATGAGAACTGCTGGATAGCAAAAGCAGGAATAGTGAAGACAAATAATAGAGGGAGCTCAGAAGGACAATTAAATAATTTGCCTTGTTCTTGGAGACATCCGTATCTTCCTTCCCATCCTCTGCTTCTCCTTCTTTGCCCATCTGTGTAGGCCAGCAGCTGAGTCAGACTTTGGCTTAGCTTCACCATTATAAAATATTTCTTTCTGCCTGGTTTTGCTTGGGTTTGGATTTAGTCTGGCTGTGGTAGATGCCAAATGAGGGTAGTGGTAGCTGTCACCTTCTAAAGATGAGTGGAAATCGCCTGCTGCCTGGGATTAATGGGATTTAAAGGTGGTATGTGTGGAAGAGATTGTGGCTGGAGTGATGCCCCTGCTGCCACTCAGTCACTGTCACCCAGAGGTGCTGATCACTGTGTCACTCAGCAAACTGAGTGTGCCACCTGCACCAAACTGCTCTTGTGCCTGGAAAACACATGGATCTGTCCTGAGCAAGTTCTGCTGTATACATGGTCATGGCCCACTCTCTGGGTAGAGCCCAGACATGACCTCCAGCTGGGCTTTGGAGACTTTTGGGTCTCCTTCATTTAGCAGCTCCCTTTTATAAGCCTTGCCTTCTGGTCTGAAGTGAATTTTCACCTTCCCTTCCCTTTTCAGAAGGACAATAGGCATTGCTGAGGGGGGGATCTCAGCGTGACAGCAGGATTGGTGCAAAGCTGCTCTCTGCAATTCATCCGCTTGCTCATTCTTGCCTTGTAGTTCAAAAACCTCATAATTATCTGACATCCTCTGCTCTTAAAACCTCTTCTTGTGTAGGAGTTGTTTTTTGTTTGGATTGCAGCAACAGGCTTTCAGTCTTTGCTTCCTGCTGCTTCCTGACAGAGGTTTTGACAAGCCCTTCAGAGTCACTGCTGCTTTGTTAATTTTCTGGCTTTTCACTCCCTCCTCCTATTATTACTTTAAGCTGGTGTTTATTTGACCACACACTGATTCAACACTTACAGTTACCAATTAGGATCAAGATATTGCTTTGACATTTACCTGAAACTGAAGGTCTCTGTTGCTAAGACATCCAACTTCACAGAGTTTCTCCAAAGCAAGGCAGAGCATTGCTCATACTTTTATTTGTTAGGGGTTAGTCTTGTGATCAATGGTGTCCATAACTGACGTACATCTTCCTTGATGAACAATTTGCTTACATGCATGGGCAAAACAAAGAGCCTCTGCACTAAGAGACTTTCTGGTTACTACCTTTTATGAATTTTTTCCTTGCCATCATCAGCATCACACACTGTGGACACATACCAGTTTTAGAACTTGTTATATTAGGGCAAATTGAGAAAATGGCAAATTTCCACTTGGCAATAATTGGCAATGATTCCAGGTTTAAAATTAGTTTTTCTTTCTTTATTTTTTCCTTTTTTTCTTTTATTTTTTCTTTTAACTTTTATTTTTTTTAACTGTAATTTACATAAACTATGTAAATTACATAGTAGACCTTTATGTCTAAGTAATTTCCTCAGCTTTCCTCACCTTCTTTTAATCATTCCTTACCCTCTTGTTTTTGCTCTGATGCTTTTCCTCTTCCTTTTCTGTGTTTCCATCCTATGTGTGCTTTTGTATTGCAATTCTATTCACAGAACCTTAATTTGTTTACCTGTTTAAATGCAGTTAGTGCTGAGAGTGATCATGGTACAATTTGACTGAAATAGAATACCAAAAAAATACATTGATGAAGTGGTTCAAGTATCTTTTCTCTTTTCTCAGGCTGTTTGCACATTTGGCCAGACAATTTTCATGGATACATACAACTCAAAACTGAGAGGATTAGAAAATGTTATATTTCAAAAAATAAATTCTCCCAACTCAAGGCTGATTGAAATCAATGGTACAGCTCTCAGTAATCCTGTTTAGCAGCAGAATAAATTCAGTGTTTTTAAATGTCTCAACCTTGGTTTCTACTCAGTCCTAATACTACAAACCATTATTTATGGAAGTTGTTCTCGAGAAAGACATTTATTGTACCACCCCTGCAAAAAATGCAGAGCAGCAGCTTGGTCTCAGTCTTGCAGACTCAGCCACAGTGAGGCATACAGCCCTACAAGCAGTGCAAAATTTCTTTGGTGGGATGTTTTGTATATTTATAAGTCTGTATTCTGTTAATCTCTGGAGTACCTGTTGAAAGAAGGCGTGTGGTCTGTGTGGTTCAGAGCTGGACACTTAACTTCTGTCTGACCCTAAGCTCAGCTCACAGCTTTGTACTTTGTCCTTAACCACAGAGAAGCGCCCCTCACAGAATATTTTTGTACCTCAATTAGATCCCCACCCTGCCACTTCAAAGCTAAGTATATTAAGCTGGTCATCATAAGACATATCTCCCATTCCTCAGGGTTAGTCTTCCAGTCTCCCCTTGGATCTTACCCAAAATGTGAATGTCCTTTACATTTGGTGCCTCTGCTGCGGTGCACGCCCTTCCCCAAAAACAGCTTGATGAAAGGGATGCATTAAAGGGTGATTTTACAATTTGTTTTGCCTGATGGACAGATTCACCCCCCTCCACCTTGGAACATTTACTTAGGTTTCCCTTCAGCTGTTATATGCAGAGTAAAGACATAGGGAAAGGACTTTACTGCAGGTTTTAATTCTTCATTTAATCCACCTGAATCTTTGCTATGGTGTAGGAGAGTTCAACTGTGGAGGACACACCAACACTGGCCATTTATCTGGATTAATGCTCTCTACTTCAGTTTTCAACCAAATATCTAAGCCTCAAACAGAGAATTTTAATCCAATTAAAAAGCACAATTCCAGCTTGGTTTCCCCCCACTTTTATCCTCTCTCCCAATGTATCATTCAGTGATGCCTTTAGCAAATTAGTTTAAAAAGATATTTTTACAGCTATACACTTATATGTCTTTTATAAAGATATATATTTGAAGAAACCATGTTTCTATACCAGTTACAGTGCGGCAAAAAATGTGGTATATGGGAGAGAACCAAAAGTGTTTGTTTCAACAAGCCTCAAAGTGAGGGTGTCTGAGTAATTTTCTTATGTTTTCTTCACACTAATAATCCACTCATAAATTGTTCCTTGAGCAGATCAGCTGATTAAAAATTGCCAGAGAAACACAAGTTATGGGACTGCCTGATAATCCAGAGCACTGCAGTACCCTATGGCCATTATAGCATGATGTATACACACTCTGATATGAATCACAGAATCATAGGGTGGTTTGGGTGGGAAGAAACCTCATCCAGTTCCACCCCCTCCCATAGATACGGACACCTTCCCCTGTCCCAGGCTGCTCCAAGCCCTGTCCAGCCTGGCCTTGGACACTGCAGGGATCCAGGGGCAGCCCCAGCTGCTCTGGGCACCCTGTGCCAGGGCCTGCCCACCCTCCCAGCCAGCAATTCCTTCCCAATATCCCAGCTGGGCCTGCCCTCTGGCACTGGGAAGCCATTGCCTGTGTGCTGTCCCTGCAGGCCTTGTCCCCAGTCCCTGGGCAGCTCTCCTGGAGCCCCTTTAGGCCCTGCCAGGGGCTCTCAGCTCTCCCTGGAGCCTTCTCTTGTGCAGGGGAGCAGCCCCAGCTCTCCCAGGCTGGCTCTAGAGCAGAGGGGCTCCAGCCCTGGCAGCAGCTGCGTGGCCTCCTCTGGGCTGGCTCCAGCAGCTCCACGTCCTTGTGCTGTTGTTGCCCAGGGCTGGGGCAGCTCTGCAGGTGGGGTCTCACCTGAGCACAGGGGCACAGGGGCACAATCCCCCCTCCCCTGCTGCCCACGCTGGGGGGATCAGCCCAGGGCAGGGGGTCAGGGCTGGGGCAGGTCCAACTCTCACCCCCAGCACCCCCAGGTCCTTCTCCCAGGGCTGCTCCCTCTGCTCATCCCCAGCCTGGATTGATCCCAGGGGCTGCCCTGACCCAACTGCACTCGGCCTCGTTAAGCCTCATGAGATTCCCCTGGACATATTTTAACACCCCATGCTGTTTCTTCTTAATTCCCTGTGCTAATAATTGCTGCTAATTAGACTAGAGGATGGATGTGAGATTTACCAGCCCTTGTCATTAGCCTGGTGATCAGCAAAACTATTGGGGTCCTGAATGCCCTTTTCTTCGGATAAAGTGTGCTGGTAGATTGCTTCCTGGCTGTCCCCACATACCCCAACTGGGAAGTTAACTTTCAGTATTGGCAGCGCCAAATGTTCACAGCTCAGCTTGCCAGGCTTCTGAAATAATGGAATTGGGTTAAAAAGGACAAGTTTAAAAATAGCAATCTGCACGATCCTTTCTTGTTGGCTTCTGAGATAAGGGAAGGGTTTTGACTTGTGTTGTCAAATATTTCCCCATCATTTTTAAATTTCTACCCTGCTATTGGTGTAGTTTCCAGAAGACGGCGGGCATCATGGGTGTTGGAACAAATCTGTGAGAGTCTGCAAAACAGAGACTTGAGATGACTGTGTTTATGCATAGGCTTAAAAAATGCCGTCTTTCCCAACAGGCAAAGGAAGCATTATATTGTGACTTTAGATATGTCATCAAATGACACATCCTTTGCTAGCTGAGCCAACAAATCAGAGAAAGGACCCAGTGCCCACCACATTTAGCAACTATTGTAGATGTAAAACTGAAGTTTGGAGTTTTTACTTCTTTGGCCCTGTGATTTTCCATGTGTCCAGCTTTTTGCCCTTGTGTTTTGTAGAATGAAATTTCTGCCTCCTCATACGTGTGTGTTGTTTACGAGCACAGATAATTACTGGCCTTCAGTTTTGTCTGGGGAGCCTAGTATTGTTTTCATGCAAGGACTTGCAGAGTCTATGGGAAGTAAAAATTAATCGTTTACCCTAGTAAGGTGATATGTTGTTGTTCTTGCTATCTTTTAATTGTTTTTGATAAATGTGTCATAGTCACGTTTGTATGTTAAGAAATAGGACATGAGAACTCATGCTGATAGACTTAACCTAATGAATGATATCAAATATCAACTGCCTCATTTTCTTGCTAGAGGGCTGCAGTTTAGCTGGCAGAATGGAGAGGAATTGGCAAATTGGACCGGCACCTTTAATTTCACGGATGACGGAGCAGTGAAGAGTGGCAGTGACACAGGCACCAGGTACCAACATCCAAGGGAATGACTGAAGAGATCTGTCTCTCATTGTATGAACCACAAATGTGAGCACAGGCTGTATGAAAAATGAGATTTGCAGTGTGCTTTGGCTTCTTGGCACTGCTCCCCACAGTACAGAAGATGTCAGGGATGTCCAAACACTGTGCTGTTTTCCCCCTTGCAAGCCTTGGGAACATTTTGGAATATGCCATAAGCATCCATGAGGTCTACAGGAGAGTGGCTGCTATGTCCTAGCCTCTCCTGTTTCCCTACCAATGCTGTGTGTCAAGGTGTGGCAGTATGGGAGGAAGGGACTTCGGCAGAGAATGTCCCAACATGACAGTATTGGTGCATACAGAGCACACTGGGGTATGTGGTCTTTAGAATAAAACATGTGTTCCATGAAAACATAGTTTAATTTGAATTCTTTTCAGGGCCTAGCAGGGGGAAAGTTTTCTGTCAAGATAAGACTGGAGTATTTATTTTATTTACAGTATTTGGCAATGTGAGAAGCACTGATGTGCTGCTGCACTCTTTGTACTTCCTAGCTTGACATGGGCTCAGATGTCTGCAGGGTCATGTGCAGACTCAGAAAACTGGCAGCAGTTGTGCCTAAAGAGCTCCACAGCTATCCCAGGCCATCTGCACAAATCCAGGCACCAGCACAGGCACTGGATATTTGGGCTGTCTGCCTGGAACACTAGTCACAGGGGTTAAAAATCATGAGTCATGTGTAGCATCAAGTTCAATAAGCAGCAGGGAAATCTTAGAAAGAACTGTAAAATAAAGAAAAAAACCTAAAAACAATTAAAAGAACCTTACACTTAATACTTGTGTATAAAAAAACCTCTGGGTAAATTTCCCATTTTATTTTAAATATCATCATTTTGTAACCATACACTGCTACAGCTGTGGAGCTGATAGCACTTCAAAGGCAAGCAGAAGTTGCAGAGTCTAACCTGCCAGAAATCATCCTGTCACTGAACCACAGCAATGCTGCAGTTCCTGTTCAGGCTCTTGCTGTAATGTGATCCTGTACGAGTGCTGCCTGCTGCTCTGCTGGCTGGTCTTGTAAAGGTTCTTTATAAGAGCAACCAACCCCCACTGCAGTTTTTCACTTAGAGCAGGGGGAAAAAAGGTTCGTGTGTATATGTGTGTCTATCTATCTATCTATCTATCTATCTATCTATCTATCTATCTATCTATCTATCTATCTATTTATCTATCATCTAATCTTCTACTCTTGTTGCCTTTTTAGTGTCTGCTTATACAGTCTGTATTTACAAAGTCTTCAATTTAGGCACTTGGCTTATAAAAGAACTCAGTGTGACACAAAGCCACACATCATCTTGACGGCATGAGGAAATAAACAAATATAGATTTCCTCCTCTAGACACCTTTGAGACAATTGAACCATCACTGATTGCATGACTGGGAATCAAAACCCTTGAATACAAAAGACATGGTCATGAGGGGCTGAAACACAGTGCTGCTCTCATTCTCTTCAGCCTCTTCAAAGACAAAGAGGTTCAAGGTACAAGTGGTTTTTACACAAACAAACTGCTCAAGCTAGATAGAAACTGGAAAAAGTTATAATATCACTGGGGAAAAAAAGTGTCTTTCAAAGCCTGTGTTACGTGATATGTTAGTGGTTGTGTCTCTACTGCCCAGGCTCCCCAGGGAATGGTGACATTTGCGAGGCTGCCAGAGCTCCAGGAGCACTTAGACAGTGCTGCCAGGGGTGCCCAGGGTGGGATTTTTGGGGGGTCTGTGCAGGGAAAGGTCTGGACTCTGATGATCCTCGTGGGCCTCCTCCATCTCAGGACATTCCATGGTTCTGTGTTACTGATAGCGGAGCTGAAAGCTTTTCAGTCAGGGATAAGTCTACCTGCAACATATTTCACACCTAAGGGTGTTAGAGATATTACTTATCGTTTTGTCTACTGTATGAAACCTGAGAATATAGGAAAATAAAAAAGTACTCTGTAAGTGTGGAGGTGAGACTGTGTGGTGACTACTGCAGAGCTCTGTCAAAATTGTTTACTATTTACCTTTGATCACCTTTCAGGCTGTGTTGTCACCAGACATCTCCTGAGAATCTTAATCTGACACTCAACTTTAGGCTGTTGATATAAAATGAAAACAAGTCTTCCTCTAATGAATAATTCTTTCCACTGAATGGAAAACTTTCAGAGTACATTTCACAGAACTGATTTTATTTGTATATATTTACAGAACTCCAGAGAGATGTCTGAAGTGCACAAAACTAATTGTATATCAGCATAAGCACAGAGAATACCTTTCACTGCACAGCTCTGCAGTTTTCTGTGTCATCACCTTCTTGTCAAAGGTTTGGTGATTAAAGATATTAATTGAAATAGATATGAATATGATTTCCATTAATTTGTACAATTTATATATATATAGAGACACATGTTTATTCATGCATATGTGGTATCAACTCGAACATATTCTAGAACTAGTCTTTATCTTTTAATTACATAACTTAATGCAGGGTGTAGAGATGCTGACAACTCATCCTGTAGGAGTGAAATTTTAGATGAAAATGAGGGGCTTTCAAAGCAAAGGCACGCTGAAAGAATGAGTGCATTAGAATTGCAAGTCAGCCAAACTTCATGACAATCATGGCCTTAGGGGAAACCAATGAACAGTGAAGATTAAACACTGCATGAAAATGATCAGGTAAGAAAGAGATGAAGATTATTGTGTTATGTGATTTCAGTAAACACTGAGTCACTCCTCACAAACAATGGTTTGGGTTGGGAGGGACCTTGAAGCTCAGCCCAAGCCACCCCCTGGTCATGGACACCTTCCACTGTCCCAGGTTGTTCCAAGCCCTGTCCAGGCCTTGGACACTGCAGGGATCCAGGGGCAGCCCCAGCTGCTCTGGGCACCCTGTGCCAGGGCCTGCCCACCCTCCCAGCCAGCAATTCCTTCCCAATATCCCAGCTGGGCCTGCCCTCTGGCACTGGGAAGCCATTGCCTGTGTGCTGTCCCTGCAGGCCTTGTCCCCAGTCCCTGGGCAGCTCTCCTGGAGCCCCTTTAGGCCCTGCCAGGGGCTCTCAGCTCTCCCTGGAGCCTTCTCTTGTGCAGGGGAGCAGCCCCAGCTCTCCCAGGCTGGCTCCAGAGCAGAGGGGCTCCAGCTCTCTGGTGGCTGAGGTCTGAAATCAAACACACTTTTGTCACTGAGCCCTGCTCTGACAGCTCTGCTGTGCTGGGATAACTCAGCTAACCCAGGTTTTCATCAGAGTGCTTAAGACAGTTTTTCAGAATGTGTAGAAGCAGCCCATGGAAATAAAATCTTATGTCATATATGTGGTGCACCCAAGAGTGTGGATCCTGTTTGTGTCACCTAATACTGCTCTGGGCAGACACTTGACAGGTGTCAATTTGCTGGGTCTTTTTGGGCAGCAGAGCCTTCATTTCAACTCAGATTACATTGCTGAGGGCCTTCAAGGTAGCAAGGAAATTGTGAATACTAGCAAGAAGTAATAGTGAAACATAGGAGCCCCCCAAAAGCATAGGAATTTCAACCAAAGGATGACTACTCACACAGATGCAATAAGAACCAGTTGTTGAACACTGGCATATTTTTGATTCTTGTGCACCACCCATTAATCATATTTCTATCTTTTGCATTTTACTTTGTGCAAATCATCATTAAACCTTACAACATCCTTGTGGAGAATCAGGTAAAGGGTTTTATCTAATGTTGGTTATGAGAAGTGATATCTAAAACCCCTTCCCAGAGCCCTGATTATTCTGCTCTCCTTTTAATATGTTTTGCAACTTACTGAGATTGTGAGTCGTCATGCTTAAATAATTTTTCACTGGCAAGAAGCTGCCTTAATGACAGGATGACTTATCTGCCATATTAGTTGGTTTCTGGTGTTCTCTTCAGACTACTGGAGCTGAAGACAAGATTCAATGTACAGCTTTTGTGGTGACACCACAGAAGCCTTTGATGGGTGAGAGGAGATTATACTTTCAGGCCTGTCAGTTTGTACACTGAATTCTCCAGTATGAAAAACCTGAAGCTTTGCCCCCACTGAATACAAAATAAAAACTAGAATCAATTTGATTTATCAAATACATATTTTACTAGAGTGAACATAAGGGCTTAGAATTTTGCTTAAGTCACATTGCTGAGTTCCTCATACAAAGATCCTAAAATCTAAAATTCACAAGGGAAAAAAAAAAAACCAAAAAAAAAGCAGTTGCTTGCAATAAGCTAAAATGTGGGTTTTGAGATGTCATAGATGTGTAAGTGTTGTCATGAGTGTTGCTATGCCTTCTAGGTGGGTGGTCATATGGATAACAACATCAGCAGATTATTTCAGTCAGAGTGAATGGGAAAGGGCTTGATTAAAACACCCAGGTAGCAGCTTATTAAAAATTGGAGAGTTTTGAAAATGAAATTGGGAAAATAGGGCCTCCTGCAGCATACTCCACCGCTGCTTGTCAGCAGACAGCGTTGGCTTGATACAGTGAAAGACAAGAAACTCGATTTCAATGTAATCTCCAATAAATCATTCACACACTGCACAGTGGGAAAACCTCTAAATGAAGATGAGTGTCAGTCTGTGTCAGAGAGGAGCTGGGAAGCACAGGCAGTGGTGGTGTTGGTGGACTGCAAGGTGGGCTTTCTTCCAGGGAGAAGCAGGAGGCAGCCTGGACTTTGCTGTGCCATTTAGGGCTGTCTTTGCTGAAGCTCCTGCTGCTACACCCACGGCTGCTGCAGTGGAGCTGTGTTTTGCAACTTAACTGTTGGTGCTGTTCTTGGCTGAAACCAGGGAGAGGCTTGTGTCCCAAATCAGTGGGCAGATTGGAAGGGATCAACGTGACCTTGGCAGGATGCTTGGTCAATTCACATTGCTAATGAGGTAATGAGAAGCAGAGCCAAGCAATTCCAAGTGATCTGTGTGTGTAGAGACTTGGAAATGGGAGATCATAATCAGAATGGCAGTGAACGGGCAGTGCCAGTT